AAAAAAACGCTACGAATTTATTTCTCAACCTAATATATCTACAGAGGCGACTATGTGCCTGGAATATGGGTCGATGGTATGGATATATTGGCAGTTCGTGAGGCCGTTCGTTGGGGCAAAGAGTATTGCAATGCAGGAAAAGGACCACTAGTGCTCGAGTTTGCCACATACAGATACTCTGGACATTCGATGTCTGACCCCGGCACCAGGTGGGCAGGTTTCACTTCTTAAACGTCTCCGAGCTGATTTGTTTTATTTAGCTACCGAACCCGTGAAGAGATTCAGCAGGTACGCAAAACTCGTGATCCGATCACTGGTTTCAAAGATCGCCTCATCACGTCAGGCTTGGCCACTGAGGATGATCTCAAAGCAGTGGATAAAGTGAGCATATGAAATTTACATCATCATTACAATTTACATTCGGGTGACAAGTAACCTGGGTGGAGGAGCAAATTTATGTGATAAAAGCAGTCCTATTACTATAAAATATTTGGTGTTTAGGAAGTTCGCAAGGAAGTGGATGAGGCTGTCAAAACGGCTAGCACATCGGCGTTGATGCCTGAGGAGGGAATTTATACCGACATATACCACAACACCGAACCGCAGCTTGTAAGCATTAGTCAATCTGTATTACCTCTGTTAAGAACCCGTTCCCTACCTTACAGGTGCGTGGTTCTACCGTCGACGTTTCGCATGTACAGAAGTTTGTTCACTCTGCCGATCTTCTGAAGTCAGTCAGTAAATAAAGAAGGAAACTAGACATACTGTCTATATTAGCCCTAGCTGGTTTATTTCTAGTGTTTATTCAACGGTAAAAATTGTATTGTTGTAGATCGTTAGGTAAAAATAATTAATGAGCTAGTTTTGTTGACTCGTTACCAGTCGTGGAAGTGTTAGAACTTCATACCGTTTAGAGTAGGGTGGTCAATAAAGCAATGATAGAGCTTGGTCATTTTATCAGTTCAGTTGTATGTACAGTATATACGTTTGCATTATGGTGAGCCGACAAGATTTATGAGAGGAAAAAGATATCAAAAAAGATTTTTGAATTTTGAATCGTGCTTATTTATGTAACAGTCAAGTGGGCTGGTCGTACGATGGTTGTTTGAGGAATATTCTAGCATATTTTTCAAAGTGGCAGAGAGGAGCTGTTACTGTTGTTGGTCAGATAGTTCTACGACAAAAGATAAGCTCGTTTTTGTGGGTCATTGTCTTTTTTGAGAATGATGAGTTTAGCTTGCTAGAGAACAAAAGAACCGTGAAACACAGATTGAATGTTGAAAGAAAAGACCGAAACGGGGGGTGGGGGGAAATCTCCTAGTAACATTAAAGATTTTATGCAGTGTTTATGTTCCATTAGGAATTAGGAGCTTTGTTTGAAAAGGTAAAAATAACTATCTTGTGCCTAATTGCAGGTCCCCCGTCGATTACAGGGGCAGAAGAACGAAGGACGTTGATGAATATACACAGTCAAAAGATAAAATGCATAAAATTTTTTTAGAAAAAACTTGGGCTAAAAGAATGATTCTGACATGAAACTGAACTATAAGAAGATTTTATTTGAGATTTTTTAGGTCACCTTTTTTGCACTGAAAATCGTGCTGATGTAGAAGGAGCAAAATTTCTTCTTTCAAGATATATAATATGTAGTACTTCACTTCGTGGTCAATGCCTAGAATTTGTAAAGCCCTCACACTCAGCTTCCATCAGAAACCTCCTCTGTAAGTAGCCATCATAGGATTGATTGCAAGGATATTACAACCAGTGCTTCACCTCTTCTTCGGAGAAGCTCGCACTAGCGCTTTGGAGAGCTAGGTTAACACTTTGAGAAAGTATTGAACTTAATCCAATAAGCCATCATATGCGCA